CAAAAAAAAAAAAAAAACACACACACACACAGAAATTAGCTGGGCATGGTGGCATGAGCCTGGAGTCCCAGCTACTTGGGAGGCAGAGGCAGGAGAATTACCTGAACCCAGGAGGCAGAGGTTATAGTGAGCCAAGATGGCACCATTGCACTTCAGCCTGGGGGACAGAGAGAGACTCCATCTCATTAACAACAACAAAAGTGTATTCAATTACATGATTTATTGATTTAATTCAAAGATCTATTGGCTGTACTCAAGGCCTAAATACTCAAATAACCTACTAGATGTCTCCACACACTACGCCTTTCATTCATTAATTACGTATTTATTGAGTACCTACTAGGTCCAGACACTGGGCTAGACACAAGGCTACAGAGTAGAAAAAAACAAAGCTTTAATTTCATTACTTAAATTACATGTCCCAAACTGAACCTTTCATCTTTCCCTCCAAACCTGCTCCCCTTGATACATTTTCTAATTGGCATTATTGCCCATCAGGCACTCAATCCAAAAACCTGGAAGTCACACTTCTCACTAGTTCCCAACTCTTCTACCTTCAACATCTATTCTTTCTGGTCATTTCTCATGTTCATTGCCACCACTGGACTCCAGATGCTCTTCACCTGGCTGGCAGCAACGGCTTAGTTTCCTACATTTGCTCTCAACCCTCTGTAATCAAGCCAATTAAAAGGACGGATGGTATCTCTTGCTTAATATCTTTCAATGACTACATGGAGCTTTCAGATTAAGATTCAAACTCCATGTTACTATATGACCCATGCCTCCTCTTCTAGCCTCACCTAGCCCACTATCCTTTAACCATGCTCAATTATTTACTGTTCTCCAAACGCATCAATGCTCCTTCATTTTCCCTTTTGCATAAACTTCTTTCTCAGCCTCAGAGGGTCTTCTCTTTCTCTGCCACTTCTTGCTCCAACTTCCCCTTCAAAATGAAGCTGAAGTGTTATTTATCCCTGGAAGAACCTTCCTTGTGCGGAGGTCCCCCTATGTGATTTTAACTGTTTCCCATCCCACCCTGTCCATGCTTCCAGTATAGCATGATGTGAGAACTTTTCACACGTCTCTCTCTAAGCTCACTGAAAGGACTGTGTCTCACCTATTAATTTGCAGCACTAGCACAGTAACTGGTGGTGTTGAATGACTAAATATACAGCAATATGAAGTTATTTCTCTTTACAAATTAATTTTTTTCCTAAAATGTAAGCCAAATTCTAGCAACTGAAAACAGTTTATATTTACTAAGGGAGACCTTCACCCTAACAAACTCACCTGTGTTACTAAATAAAATAAAATAAGATTTACTAAGAAAACGAGTTGCTTTAAGAAAAGTTAGTAGTCGGTGCCTCGAAAGGTAAATAACCCCCTCAACTTTAGCTCTTCTCTAAGACTAGTAGCTCTTAAGGCAAGTTTATCTATGTATTTCTCCGGCAGCCCAACCCAGCATGCTGAAAATTCTAAAATGACTTCAATACCTTTTAAAGATTAAGTATGTGTACTTACCACATCTTTAAGTACTTGTGTCACTGTTGCATTTGCATTTCCCCCTTTAATCAGCATGGCATTTTTAATATTTTCATTGAGTTTCGGTTCTCTCTTCTCAAGGAATCTCTTGGCTCTTTTCGTTTTGGGCTTTCTGTTTAGAAATGCACAATTCATAATTATTTAAACATTTTCCTCACATTGCAAAGTCATGACTTAATGAATATCCAAATTCTTAAAAACTGAGACTTTTTTATTTTTTAACTGAGACATTAACATATTTGTCATTTAGGATTCCACCCTTAAACAAAATCTCTTTTTTTTTTTTTTTTTCTTTTTCTTTTCAGACAGAGTCTCATTCTATTGTCCAGGCTGGAGAGCGATGGCACAATCTCGGTTCACTGCAACCTCCACCTCCTGGGTTCAAGCAATTCTCCTGCCTCAGCCTCCCAAGTAGCTGTGATTACAGGCACATACCACCATACCCAGGTAATTTTTGTAGTTTTAGTAGAGACAGGGTTTCGCCATGTTGGCCAGGCTGGTCTCAAACTACTGACCTCACGTGATCCACTTGCCTGAGCCTCCCAAAGTGCTGGAATTACAGGCATGAGCCACAATGCCAGGCCAAAATCTCACTTTTTTGGGAGATATTAGTAAAAGATATGTCATTATTACTGTTAAATAAGTGTTTTGTTAGTTTAAAAAAAAAAAAAAGCTTTCATTTTTCTATTCCCATTCTTTTATTACTGCTCTTTTTCAAATCCTTTTTAAGTAAAAAATAAAGGGCTCAAGTAAATACTGTCGCTTTTTTTACTCTTCTTTCTTCTTCAAACTAACTGCATCCTGTACCCTAATACAAAGAATTGAGCATCAACTGCTGATCAACCTGTGGGCATTTACTAAACGTAAGACTAATGACCGCTTAGCCTTCTTTTAGGTTTAAGACCACAATGCCTGCCAGGAAGTATACACCGGTTACACTCCAACATCATGGCTAAGAATGTCAACATTGCCAACAATAGGGAATAATAAGGTTGATGTTTACATGGAGTCACTCTATTAAGGCTTAATCTTCACCACAATCCTAAGAGTTAAAATTCTTATCTTCACTTTACAGATGAAGCAACTGAACAGACAGGTAATGTGCCCAAGATCACACAGCAAGTAAACAGGCCAATCTTTAAAAGGAGCTAGGGGTGGGTGGCGGCTCACAGCCTGTAACCCAAACACTTTAGGAGGCCAAGGTGGGCAGATCACTTGAGCCCATAAATTCGAGACCAGCCTGGGCAACATCACAAAACCCTGTTTCTACAAAAAATACCATAACTAGTGAGCTACTTGGCAGGCTGAGGTAGGAAGATTGCTTGATTCCAGGGAGGCCAAGGCTGAAGTAAACTGTGATTAGGCCACTGCACTCCAGCCTGGGTGACAGAGAGATGCCCTGTTTCAAAAATTAAAAAAAAAAAAAAAAAGCTAGATTTAAAAATTCATCTAGACCAATTACCCTGTAAAATATGACGGAAAAATAAATTCATTATTCTGTCTTTATGATGTGACAGTAGCAGTGGCATGTTTTTATACACTTCTGTTCAAAAAAATGGGCTTCACCTCTGCTTCCTCTACAATGAGCACCTTGCTTTTTAGATAGTCTCTGCCATCTACTCGAAGAATTCCTCCTCTCAAATAATTATGACCCTCCCTCGTCCAGTCCCATGAACACTTTGGGAAGAAAAAGAGAAAATACACACACTTTAGCTTCCCATGTAGATTCTAAAAATCCTCCTCCAGATATAATGTCACATATAAAGTTTCTAATCATTTACTGGTTGATAAAAAGATACAAACTATTTCTATCTTTTGTATCTCATTTAACAGCAACAAATGCAAATAGCAATTAACATTCTATAAGCTGTCTAGCCCCCAATTAAAGTGTAAACTAGTCCCAATACCTAGTAAACTAGTTTTCTTTCTCTGAATGAATGGCTGCAATTGCCGTTTTGGATATATGTTGACCTAGGTATATAGCAAGAAAACCACAGCAAATAACAACAGGGCTGTTTAGCACAATAAATATTCTTGAACAAATTAAAACAGGTATCATTCAAGGATAACTCAAGAGAAGTGTACAAGGTTGGAAGGAAAAGAAGAAAACCAATGAACAGTTCTACGTGCTGCAGCAAAAGCACTACATACAATCTCGAAACTAACCCTCACAGCTCTATGATGTATGACTATGATGAAGGCTCTTTTACAGAGTAAACTGAAATTTGGAGATATTTAATGACTCAAAGTCACAGAGCTTTAAATGGACGCGCTGACTGTCACCCAGATCTGTTGGATTCCGAGGGCTGCGCTTTTAACCCCTTACTCTACCATCTGTCTCACACTTCGGAAGCCAGACATTTCTCAACTGGCTAGGATAAAAGCGGCCAACGCTTCTATCCCACCTCCCATCCCGCGGCCCCCACTTGAAAGCTTCCCCAGTTTCCTGGCAAGCAGGTCGCGCTGAGGAAGACCCTGGCTGGTGATCGATTGAACCCCAACCAGGCAAGAAGAGGGGTGACCAGGAAGAGTGAGTGGCTGAGGCAATACCACCACATCACGGGACCCTTTTACCCCAACGTTCCCCGGGGCGGAGACCCAGCGCACTTACACTACCCTATCCAGAGCGTCCATCGCTACCGCTACCGGCGACTCTTAACTGGGTGAATGCACGTGTCCCTGGCGATTACGCGCGCCGGAGCAGACGGAACCGGAAGCTGCGCGTGACGCCACTTCCAGGGACGGCCGCGCCGAGGGCGCCTAGAGGCGCTGGCGGCCATCTTGATTGGAAACGTGCCGGGTTTCCCTGGTTACGGATATTTGCCCCGGCTCTTTTCCGGGAATTACAGGTGCGAGGTAATACTTTTAAGTAACACTGGCCGAACGTGGTGGCTCACGCCTGTAATCCCAGGATTTTGGGAGGCTGAGGCGGGCGGATGACCTGAGGCCAGGAGTTCGAAACCAGCCTTGCCAACATGGCGAAACCGCATCTCTACTAAAAATACAAACATTAGCGGGGCGTGGTGGCGGGCGCCTGTAATCCCAGCTACTCGGGAGGCTGAGGCAGGAAGAATTGATTGAACTGACATGGCGGAGGTTGTAGTGAGCCGAGATCACGCCACTGCACTCCAGCCTGGGCGACGGAGCGAGACTCCGTGTCAAAAAAAAAAAAAAAAAGTTACATAGACTCTCGCAGTTTCATGTGCACGCTAGTGTGTATACCTGGAATCAGGTACATGTATTCAGAAACTAGATTTTATTCATCAGGAACTCCGAGGGCGTTAGAAAGATTGATTGCATGGTAGGTACTCACATAATTACTAAAAACATTAATGTGAAATGGGCACTGTTGACGACTGTGTGATCAGTGTAACAGTTGCTTAGTACATAAAACATGCGCCTAAAATATACTGCTTTCTTCTGTGGTTGCTTTGAATAAAAAACAAAATAAAAAAAATATACTGCTGATCGTGATTTTTCTTCAATTTTTAAGTTACCATATAATTCACATACCATAAAATTTACCCCTTTAAAGTATACAATTCAGTGGTTTTGGGTGTATTCAGAGATGTGCAAACATCAGCACTAATTCCGGAACATTTAATCACCTCAAAAAGAACTCCCGACACACACACACACACACACACACACACACACACTTACTTCAGTGGTTTTTGGTGTTCACAGAGATGTGCAAACATCACCACTAATTCTGGAACATTTAATCACCTCAAAAAGAAACCACCTACACACACACACAGGTCCACATCCCACTGTCCCCTCCTGGCAGCCCTTGGCAACCAATAATCTACTTTATGTTCAATGGATTTGCCTATTCTGAACATATATAAATGGATTCGTGCAATGTATGGCGTTTTGTGTCTGACTTCTTTCACTTACTGTTTTTAAGGTTCATACATCTTGTGGCATGGATCAGTAATTCCATTTTGTTAGGAATGAATAATATTCCTTTGTATGGATATACATTTCGTTTACCCATTCATCAACTTAGGTACTTTTTCTTTAAGACATAGTCTTGTTCTGTCGTCCAGGCTGAAGTGCAGTGGTGTGATCTGGGCTCACTACACCCTCAACACCTCCTAGGTTCAAGCAATTCTTGTGCCTAAACCTCCCAAGTAGCTGGGATTACAGGTGTGTACCACCACACCTGGCTAATAGTCATATTTTTTAGTAGAGACAGGGTTTCACCATGTTTGCCAGGCTGGTCTTGAACTCCTGAGCTCAGGCAGTCCACCCGCCTTGGCCTCCCAAAGTGCTAGGATTACAGGTGTGAACCATCATGCCCAGCCAACTTATGTACATTTGAGTGATTCACATTTTTTGGCTACTATGGATTTTGCTGCTTTGTTTTTTTGTTTTGTTTTGCTTTGTTTTGTTTCTGAGACAGTCTCACTCTGTCACACAGACTGAAGTGCAGTAGCACATCTCAGCTCACTGTAACCTCCACCTCCCGGGTTCAAGCAATTCTAGTGTCTCAGCCTCCAGAGTAGCTGGGACCACAAGCCCATGCCACCACACCTGGCTAACTGCTTTGAATATTGGTGTACAAGTTTTTGTGTGGACATGTTTTCAATTCTCTAGGAGCAAAATTTCGGGGTCATATGCCAACTCTTTTTATTATTATTTTTTTTTGACGGAGTTTTTTGCTCTTGTTGCCCAGGCTGGAGTGCAACTACGTGATCTCGACTCACTGCAACCTCCACCTTCAGGGTTCAAACGATTCTCCTGCCTCAGCCTCCCAAGTAGCAGGGATTACAGGCATGTGCCACCACGCCTGGCTAATTTTTTATCTTTAGTCGAGACTGGGTTGCTGGGATTATAGGCCTGAGCCACTGTGCCCAGCCTGCTAACTCTTAAGTGTAATGTTTTCAGGCACTGCTAAACTGTTTTCCAAAGCACCTGTACCACTTACATTCCCATGAGCAATCGAAAAGCGTTTGGTATTAATTTCCTATTTCTGTAGTAACAAATTACCACAAATTTATTTATTTTTTTTATTTTTTATTTATTGACACGGTCTTTCCCTGTAGTACAGTGGTGTGGTGTGATCTCGGCTCACTGCAATCTCCACCTCCTAGGCTCAAGCAATCTTCCTGCCTCAGCCTCTTAAGTAGCTGGGACTACAGGGACATACCACCCGTCGAGCTCATTTTGTGTTTTTATAGAGACACGGTTTTGCCATGCCACTCAGGTTGGTCTCAAACTCCTGGATTCAAGTGATCCACCCATCTTGGCCTCCCAAAGTGTTGGGATTACAAGCATGAGCTGCAGCGCCCAGCTAAGGGCTCATTTTTAATCATAAACAATACTGCCTAATATTATAGCTGACATTCCATTATTACCTTGCCTAGTAGGTTTCCAGAGAAACAGTGCTGAAAGGCAAACTCGAGGTCATTGCACCAGGGAGAAAGAAAAAGGGTTTTATTAACCCTTTACTCATAGCAGTCCAGGGTAATCTCACATATCAGGATCCAGTCTTCTCTACTGCTGCTCTGCCATTCATGGCTTCTGCTTCCAAGGTTACTTTGAAGTCTAAGAATCCTGCTGGAGCTCTAGCTACCACATCTATGTTTCAGCAGGAACAGATAAGCCCACCTGCTTCCTCTTAAGCCTTTAAGTTTAAGGAAACTTCCCAGAAGCACCACTCAGCACTTGCTTTTTTCTGCCTCTTTTTTCCCCACAACTCAGCATTTCTTATTCCATGTCAATGCCAGAACTTAGTCATATGACCACATGTATCTGCAAGGAAAGCTAATCACATTGCTAACCTGAGTAAATTCTGGGATTCTGACACAAAGCCAAAAAGGGAGAACAGATAATTGCGTCAGGCAATTAGCATTCTCTCCTAAACATACATATGGGGGGAACAATAAGCACTTTATTAAAAGCTGATACTTAAAAAAAAGTCTCATAAATTAGCTGGGTATGGTCACATGTGCCTGTAATCCCAGCTACTTGGGAGACTGTGGCATAAGAATCACTTGAACCTGGGAGGTGGAGGTTGCAGTGAGCTGAGATAGTGCCACTGCACTCCAGCCTGGACAACAAGAGTGAAAATAAGAAAATTAAAAAGTCATATAGAAATTGGGAAGATACAATATATCTGCTTATGATTTGAAAATGCTTTTAGCTGGGCACAGTGGCTCACGCCTGTAATCCCAGTACTTTGGGAGGCTGAGGTGAGCAGATTACCTGAGGTCAGCAGATTACCTAAGGTCAGGAGTTCAAGACCAGCCTCACCAACATGCAGTAACCCCATCTCTACTAAAAATACAAAATTAGCCAGGCATAGGCATGCATGCCTGTAATCCCAGCTACTCAGGAGGCTGAGGCAGAATTGCTTGAACCCAGGAGGTGGAGGTTGCAGCGAGCCGAGATTGCACCATTGCACCCCAAACATTGTACACCATTGTACTGCAAACAAAGCAAAACTCTGTCAAAAAAAAGAAAAGAAAGAAAGAAAATACTGCTTTTTATCTAGGTAAGTCATTTCCCAATACAAACTTTTTGAAGAAAAAAATTCTTTGGGGCAAGAATGCTGGCTCACACCTGTAATTACAGCACTTCGTCAAGGCAGGGGGATGACTTGAGCTCACAAGTCTAAGAGCAGCCTGGGCAACATGATGAAACCCCATCTCTACAAAAATACAAAAATAAGCTGGGCATGGTGGTTCATGCCTGTAGTCCCAGCTACTAGGGAGGCTGAGGTACAAAGATGGCTTAAGCCCAGGAGGCAGAGGTTGCAGTGAGCCCAGATTGTGCCACTGCACTACAGCATGGGTAATAGAGCCAGAGCTTGTTTCAAAAAAAAAATTGGGCCAGGAACAGTGGCTCACACCTTCTAATCCCAGCACCTCAGGAGGCTGAGGTGGGTAGATCGTGAGGTCAAGAGATCCAGACCATCCTGGCCAACATGGTGACACCCTGTCTCTACTAAAAATACAAAATTAGCTGGATGTGGTGGCATGCACCTGTAGTCTCAGCTACTCGGGAGGCTGAGGCAGGACAATTGCCTGAACCCAGGAGGCGGAGGTTGCAGTGAACTGAGATCGCACCACTGCACTCCAGCCTGGCAACAGAGCAAGACTCTCTCAAAAACAACAACAAAAAAATTCTTCATCCCAGAACATTAGCTCTCTAATCTATTAAAATAGTTAAATCACCCTGAAGAGCCAAAA